TGCTGGCTATCCCCCTCAGGGGCTAGTTCTAACGACTGACGGGGTGGAGGGAGGTGGTAGGCTCATTAATGTGGAGGGGAGGGGGTTGTAAACCTCTGGGTATGAGCGGTAAGGGGGTTGTGCGAGCAGTGTGGCCGCTGGCGGTTCTTTCTTGTTGGTGGATATCTAGGGTGGGGCGGGGAGGTTTCTTTGGAGTAAGGCACATGATCAGAGGGCCTTGCTTTTGCTCCGGCCATGCGCGTTAACTGCTGTTAGTAGTTCGATTGATGTATTGTGGTGGGTTGTTTTAGGTCTGTTTTGATGATCGGCGGTATTATGGTGAGAAGCCATGGACCTAGGTCGTGACGCATACACCTGGACGGGTGTGAGAGAAACGGTAACGCGTGAGAAAGGAGCGGCTCCGGCGATAGTGAACACAACTAGGCGGGCACACGATAAACCACAAAGTTCCCCAGACGGCGCCAACTGAATAATGCATTCGTCCTGGTGGATGGGTCGGGCTTGTCCAAGCTCTTCAAGTTCCGATTCAGGTGGTGATTCCACCAGCATGACTGCAAGCAAGTCTAAAACAAAGCGGGAACGGGGTAGTCCCCCAGTGAACCCTCCGGCGAGCAAATCAGTAGAGGAAGAAGGAAATATATATATATATAGAGAGAGAGAGATAGAAAAGCTTAACCTCCCTCTTGTCTTCGATTCTTGCTTATATCCTTTGGTAATCATTTCACTGTCCCTTGTGACGTGCCCCGTTCCGCCGAAAGCCTGTGCCGTAGCTTACCTTGTTCAGGGTGAGGGGGCTTTGTTCCGACGGGGAGGTGTTGTCGTAATAAATGCTGTGATGGGCTGCATTAATGGTGATGTATTGTGGCAATAACTCTCACTACAAGAAATCAAGGTTTTAAAGACAAAATTTTAGGAACAAAAATAATTTGTCTATAAAAATTATACTTTTAAGGACAAAATAAGGGAATTTTAAAAAAGAAATACTTAATCATATTATTATATTTTTAAGACAGCCATTTGGTTGTAAAAGAGTTAATGCCTTTTTGCAGACGTCTTTAGTTGGTTGCCAATAAACCTGACTCATCCATTTTTTTATTATGTTTTCACTATTTGCACAATTATAATCGGGATTTCATTTCCTCTCCACACCTCTCTCTCTCTCTCTCTCTCTCTCTCTCTCTCTCATCCCTAATTTCATTGTTGATTTCATCCCTGCTCTCAGAGAGTCTGATCGATGGTTTGTGGATTTCATCCCCGATAGTTTCGATCCCTAATCTGATCTCTCTCGACAGCTATTTCAGCAATTTCAATCACAGGTTTGATCGATTAATCAATTATTCATTTGAACAAAAAATTATACGAAATCGATGATGTTTTTATGTCTTCGATTCATTCATTTTTAGTTCATTTCTTGTAAATTTACAGTTGAGAAATTTAGACGAACAATCGTCGTTTTTTTGATGCTTTTTTCACTTCTCATAGTTCAGATTTCTTTTTGTTTGTTTCGGCATGACATTGATTTGAGTGATTGTGTTTCTTCAGTTTGTTTGCTCGAAACTCGTATTGTTTGGTTTCAATTTATACTTGAATTTGGTTTTCCGAACATTAGGATCTATTATTGTAACATTGATCTGTGGATTTTTTTTTCTAATTATTTTAGAGAACAAATTATTTTAGTTCTAAGTGACATGGTTCTATTTTTAGATCAACTTTTACTCAAATTTATCTGGCAATCAACTTTGACATAGTTCAGATTGTAGGAAGAGGTGAAGATTGGGTTCCATCTTTTGATCTTGAGCTGTTCCACTTACACAATTTTATTTATATAAAAAATGAAATATTGATAGGTTTACATGCTTTGATCATAACTAGTGTTTACATGCTTTGATGAAGAAGATACGCTATTAATAATTATTTTAGTTCTGATATATTAGGAACTACCATATTAGTGTATACAAGAGTTATATCATATATATATATATATATTAATATGTATGTATAATTTATAAACAGAAATGAGTGCCATGCTTTAAGATAGACGAGGTTATGGACAAAGTAATCTTGTCCAAAAATCCATTCATAGAGACTTGCCTATGTTTTTGTCTCTGTATGAGTTTATTATGGAACTTCTCCAGTTGTGTGCCTTTTTATTATTTTATTTTATTTATGATACATATTTTTTTATATCGAATTTCTCCGATTTTGTGCCCTTTTTTTTTTGTTGATTCTTTGACAAGTGCCCAAATGTAGTCTTCGACAAAAATGAGCATGGGTTTCAACTAGTTTGTAGGACTTAAATTAAAAATTATATTTTATTTGGTTTAATTAATAATGATTTATTTATTTTACTAGTGCAACAATCCTGTGCAATCTTCGATCTTTCTCTTACAATAAATTGACAGTGTCAAGGTGCCATGCAGCCATGGTTCATGATGCAAAACACCCGTTCTATTTTGTTGAATGACTTTAACTACTACATATGCAGAGTTGAATGACTTTAACTACTACATACGCAGAGTTGAGTTGCTGGATAGAAATGTGTGAAAAGTATATAGAAATATGTAAAAGTGTTTGGAAATATGTGAAAATTGCATTGGGATTCTAACTATTTTGGTATTACCCTTACCTTAACAACAGCCATGGCTGTCATTAGCATGACCCTAAATTCATTTCACCTGGGGTTGTTCTGGAATTACAAACCAGCTAAAATATCAGTTAATACTATTATGATGCTAAATTAAATGTGTAAATTGGAATTACTACCGACCAAACATATGGCCAATGGAAACAAAACAATGATCAGTGGCCTCAAGCCATGGCCGGTGAGGTGTGGGGGTGGCCCACAAGCCACTCTCTGCCCCTCAAAGGCAAAACACAAGTGTTTGGTGCAAAACCACTCAAGATCTCCGAATTCGACCGTTTAGTGTCTGGTTTTGCACTAAACACTTGTGTTTTGCCTTGGAAGGGCAAGGAATGCCTTGTGAGGCATCCCCACACACCACTTCAGACCTCATTCTGTGAGTTTTAGGGTCTGCCTTAGGTTCGTCCAAGGCCCTTTTGATCATATTTTATACCTACAATGCATGTGTAGAACAATCCCATTCAAGGCCCTTTAAAGAGGCCTTATTAGCATTTTCATCTCAAATTTTTTATTATTAATAACTAATAATAATATTTATGATTATTAGCATTTTCATGAGAAGCTACTAGAGTTTCTCAATATTTATCCACACTCTAAATTCCTAAATTTTCAAATGGTAACCTCAAGATAGATGAATAGAGAGAGAACTAATGGACAATTAGTCGATAATTGAATTTACAATTGATGTAATACCAAGTACACAACCAATATCTAAAACTCCGTACCGCTTGTCTACTAGTGAAGTGGTAGGATGGTGGCCGGCCACCTATTCCCCTGAAAATCCAATTTTCTCATTTTCTCTCTCCAAAAGCCGATTTTTCTAACAGAAAGCTGGTTTTTCCCACCCTTCACCCACAGACATTCATGTAGTTATATCACATAAGCAATTAGCCTCATGGTAAGCATGCTATTGGAAGCTTCAAAGATCCTCCATACACGTGTATGGAGGATGCACCAAATGGTCCCCAGCTGGCACATTTCAAGAAGATCAGTGAAATGACAAAAGAATTGGAAAATATATGGAAATGTTTGGAAACAAAACAGAAACTTATATAAATGTTAATAAATTTTTAGTCTCCTATCTCAGAACGAACAACAGGACACTTGGTGATCTCTACAAAAAGCGCTGCCCTGAACCTGCGGAAGAGTAGGAGGATTTTCCTGTAACAAAAAAAATAAAATAAAAAATAAAGGTAAAATAGACGGAGGAGAAGAAAGTCACCGTCGACGATAGAAGCCGTCGTCCTCAGCAGAGGTTGTTCAACTTTGCCTTCCTCCAAGTACCTCAGCTCAATAAAGGGAGTAGAGAACTAGGTGTTTGTATGCAAAAGTGCAAAGAAAATGCATTATTGTGGCACTTGTGGCTCATTACGATTTAGAGTTTCACCAAATGAATGTAAATACTCTTGCGCTCGAGCATGCTTCTACGTTTCAGACCTGAAGCTTGGCATTGTTCGCTCGAGCGATGCTTTTTGCAATCGAGTGAGTTTCTCTTGTGTCTGGTCGCTCCCTCAAAATGGGGGTGGCACCCCCCTATAAATAGAAAAACAAGGTTTGAGCTTGTATAAATCCTACCATACACGTGTATAAAGATGCAAGAAATAGGATTTTAGAGAGATATATGCCATGGTTCTTTCTCTTGTACGTAGTGAATATGACAGTTCCGGTTTAGATCCGATCCTTTTCATGTTCTTAGATCCGGAATTCCATATCTTTTAGTGGTATTGTTCTATTATTCATCAATATGAGCACAATAATACTAGCTTACTTGATGACTTTTTACTACTTATTTTTAGAAATTAGAAATGCAATTGGCTTTTTTCTGTTTTGAGGCAAATCATTGTTTGGTAAAGGCAATGGTTATGATTAGAGCTAAAGATTATCAGATAGCTTGTTGCTTCCTTAATTTCTATTTTGCTCATTAAAATGATTTGGTGCTTGAATTGAAGAGTATCCCACCTATTTAAGGCATTTGGTTCCTTGATTCCAAGGCAATGCGTGCATGTTGTTTTGGTTACCCACATAATAAAGGTTAGCCATTTATTAATTTTAGGTTAGCCATTTATTAATTTTAATTGGAGTCAGCTAAGTCATGCAGTCTTTAGTTTAATTTGTATTGGTTGTATTAATGGATTTAAGTTGTATTGGTTATATTTTAGGTAGAGTTAGATTTAATTTGTATTGGCTTGCATTAAATAATATTTTGCTTCATTTGGGTATGTTTAAATGTTAATGACTTGTTTATTTTAATTATTTATTATTGATTGACATCTAGTTGTGGCATCATATTTCCTGTTTTTAGTATATCCTATTTTTTAAGCTTTTGCCCCCCCCCTTTTTTTCCTTGTAGTTCTTTTGCACCATGGATAGGAGTTGGATGCAACTTCATAATAGAAGGTCACCTCAGTAAATTGATGGGGTGAGGGAATTTATTTTGTTTGCTCATGATCATATGAAACCAGGGATAGACAAGGATCCATTTTTATAGCACACATTGCAGCACTGATGGTTAAATCAACACCTGGACCCCATGCATCCATTAAATCAATTCGATCATCTACGCGGCACCCATTTACATCAGAATCGGTACATGAAGTTACGTCACAAGTTTCACACTCGGATACTTCTAGCACACATTGCAGCACTAATGGTTTGTAAATATTTTAAGTTTATGTTTTGTTTTGGTTGGTGGTCTCGTCTTTTCAATCTATATATTTACATGATACTTTTTCATTGTTTCTAGTAGGCACATCCAAGGGTAAGAGAGGACGTGGGAAGTCACGAAGCCTCAAATTGGCCAAGCTAAAAAATCAAGGGGTGCGACTACCTATTCAGATTTGTAAGGTTAGTGGACGACCATATGGTGAAGCATCTGAAAAATTTACTAGTGAATTAGGGATTGTCACTAGGCAATTTGCCCCACAAAATGTGCCATCGTGGACTGATATTAGTGAAGAGGATAAAGAAACATTGGTTGCATACCTTCAGGTAAGTGGTACAATTGCTGAGATTTAGATTTCCTCTTTCCAAATTATTTTCTAGATAGTTATTTCCCCAGTAAATTTCCTCTTCCCACATTATTTCATCAAGCATTTTGATAGCACTATTTGTACCATTTATTTGTTTCTGGCACAATAATTAACAAGCACCATAAATAACTTTGAGGGAAGGTTTTAATGTGCTTTAATTTTTTCTTGTTTGGTATGACAGGAAGGTTTTAAGTTTACCAATGAACCCTATGATATTGAATCTATCCTCAATTTAATGCACGACCGGTATAAGAGCTATCGCCATGACCTACGACAACGCTTTAGAAGTTTCCCTACAATGGAATCTGCCCTTGCAGATCCACCTGAAAATATGGAAAAGGAGGCGTGGAAGTTCTTGTGCGAAAAGTGGTCTGACAAGGACTATAAGGTAACTTTGTCAATCTTGTCTCATTTTTTGTCAAACATGATGGTTTAAATATGAAGTGCCCTAAGCTCCGTGTCATAATATGCTATGGTATGAACAGTAATTGTGTTCCTATTCGAAGTTAAATGCCGAGTTTGATGTAAAATAAACATCACCTTGCAGAATGCTTGTGAATTTGTTGAATCTTTAAACAAGGAATTTATGAAAGAAAAGGAAATGCATCTTTGTAATTCTAGAGTTAACACAACTGAGAGAAGTTGTAGATTTTTGTTGGATCAACTGTTAAGAGGCTTTTGCATTATGGGAAAGACTACTTTACGCATTAAGAAAAATATGCATATTTTATTTTTTGACTATATGATTTATTATGATTGGCATGCGAAAGTTTTGGAAGCATTATTTTCACAATCACGGACTCAAATTGTCACTAGAAAACAATTCTACATTAGTACTTCACTCTGCTAGTCTGCAAGTGAAAGTGATGAAAGCCTACCAACAAACAAGTGCAACCTGCTATCTCCAATTCTATATGTCCTGTAGATGAGAAATGTTTAATAATAAAAGAAACACTTTGTACTATGACTTATGCATTTAATAATAGGTGAGATGTGGCAAGAATAAGTTGAATCGGTGTGTTTGATCCCACTTGAAAACCAAAAAGTTATTGATTTTTTTGACTATATGATTTTTTTGTATAGGTGCTTTTGGGTGGCCTTTTCAACATGTTTTGTTTCTGTAACTGCCATTCTTGCTGTGTTTGATCCCACTTGAAAACCAAACAGTTACGATGAAACTTGAAAATTGTTTATGTGGGTTATGAATGGTGAATCGGTGTGAAAATTTATAGTTTCCCCACAATCCGATTATGTTTCTTTACGTCTGCTCTATAAAATTATTTAAGCATGCTTGTTACTAGTTTTTGGTCCGTGCCATGTATCCATTAAGGATTATAACCGAGTTATTTATTTCCAAACAAGTAACCTGTTTCAGGGGGGCCGTACAGACGATTAGTGAAGCTTCCATTACTTGTTTATTGTACAATATGTAGCTTTAGCCGTAGGCTGTATCATCTTCCCGATAGTAATTCACTGTCCTGTTAAGCTCTCTGTTTGCTAAATACTAATCTTTCTCACTATTCCTAGCAGGGTTCTTGTTTTGTGGTTTTTCAAAAATATGGAGGGATGCTGGAACTCCTGCTGATTCTTTATGAGGTTTGGCCCGAATGCACCGATGTTCCCAAAACCAAATTCCAAATCAAGGTTTGTTAATTCTTCAAATGCTAATTGTTTTCTTTAACATAACCATGATTGTTAATTGCTGAATTTCAATCAATATTGTTGAGAACCTAGTCCACATTGTGGCTTTTTTTATATTTGGAATTAATAATCAAAGCACTAGATTGTTTGTTGACTTTTGCTTATATTACTTGACTATTCTGGATTGTGATATTGGTCTGTTCATTATTAATATATTGTTGATTATATATAACATTGAAACAAGAGGACCATTCTGGATTGTTAATTGTTGATTATATGTAACTTGCTGCATATATACCAGCTGTGGACCTGTGGTAAGGTGGCTACTGATGTATACCACCTCAGGGGTAAATTTAGGGACTATTTTTTAGAGGTCACTTGCATTACTCCTTAGAAAATATAAGTAGACAGAATTTTTTTGAAGAACAGATCACATGAGAGACAAACAGTGGGGTCCATTTGTGTGAGGCCCACATGTATCTCACTCGGGAGTGTTGCAGGCTATTTAGAAAAACGTTCTTCTTTTCGTCTATATATATATATATATATTTGCATAATTACAGTTTTCATTTTCTGTCTATCATTGGATAATTTTTAATTGGTAATGTATTTGAGAGTTTGGCCTATTCTATGCAGGTCCTGCAAGCTTGCGTCGATTTAAAGCTTAGGAGCTCTCTGCTAGATTTTGAATGCCATTTCAACGAAGCCATTGAGAAGAAGATGCGATGAGTTGAGTTGTTTTGTTATGTAGGTAGATATAACTCTAATTACAATTTGTTCATTGAATAGTTGAATGCTACAAATTAGAAATGGTACTTTTGAAATCTCTATCAGATATACAATCAAGATATTACGTACTAATGAATCAGAGCATGGTATTTGTCCGTTATTGAATGTGATGAGCATTTTTTTTTTTTTTTGGTGTAGTTGAATTTTAATTTGGAGATGAGCGGATGGTCTGGTGATATATATTTTCTATTTGGTTGTTGAGAAATCAAGAAAGGAATATAAGTTGATGTTCAAACTAGTATTTTTAGAATAATTGTTACAAAATAAAAAAAAATAAAAAAAAAATTATTAAACTTTTAGAGACCAATTTTACTTGTCTCAAAAAATTTTTAACAAACTTTTAGCCACCACTTTTATTTGTCCCCAAAATTAAAACTTTTAACCACCACTTTCATTTGTCCTAAAAAACCTAAAACTTTTAGTTCCAAAAATTAAAACTTTTAGACACCAATTTGTGTTGTCTTAAAAATTAATTTCGTCTCCATAACTACTACGGTGGCCTTGAACTATAATTAGACTTTTAGAGACAAATTTTGATTGTTTCAAAATCAAAATTTTTTGTAACCACATATATTTGTCTCTAAAAGTCTATTTATAGTGACAAATGCAAAATTTTGTCTCTAAAAGTCAATTTTTGACTTTTCCGGACAGGCTATTTGGGACAAACTTCGCGACGGAGGAAATTTGTTGGCTAAAATTTTTTCCAACAAATATTACACTTTTAGGGACGAAATAAATTTGTCCCTAAAAAGCTGATTTCTTGTAGTGTCTGCAGATCTTTGTCTGCTGATGTGGCCTGTGTTTCACCTGCCATGTGCCCGAATGCCATTGGCCCTCCATGTCCAGATGGCCTCCAGCTGTCCTGGGCTTTGCCAACCGGGTTATGCTATGGGTCCCAAGCGATGGGTTTGGGGTTGTTTGCTGTGGGCCGTAAGCCTTGTGGGCCTATCCACGTCAACTATCAATGCAACTAATCATTTCACAAACACACAGGTTATGTTTGGCATAGAGAGTTTGGGTTAAAATAGTCACAAAAAGATAAAATAGACTAAAAATCACTAAGATAAAATTTTACATTCAAATCATAATCATTTTATTTTTTCTATTACAAAAGTCAAAAAAATCAAAAAAATCTATCACAAATGATGGCATTTTAATCCCAAACTAAAAAGGTTAAAAAAATTAAAAAACTAACTCACATCTTAAAGGAAGGCAAAAATTTGGTTATTCTCAAAGCGAGAGGCAAGGACGGAAGGAAAAAAATTATCCAAGACTATCCAACAATTGTACTTGTCGATAATTATCTCATAAATTTTTCATACGTTTCGTTTATTTGAGTAAAAAATAATTTTTATATTTTTTTATATTTAGCACAAGACAAAATGAAAATCAACTAAAAATATTTTTTATAATCAATGAAAACAAGTTTATTTAGGTAAAAAAATATTTTTCTTTTATATGGAGAAAATTATTTTTTCTAAAAAAATTTACGAATATGATCACACTATCATCGCTGCTCTCACTTCCACCATCATGAGAAGTTATTTTTTTCAAAAAAAAAATTCGTTGAAATTTTTTTTATTAAAAAATATTTTTTATCCAAACAGATGGACCGGATTTATTTGAATCATTGATTTTAATAGAAAAATAAAACAAAAATAATTTTAGTCATTCGATTTTAAAACCCTCACTTGAGGACTATAAATACACATCACATCTCACAATCACTCGTTCCAAGAGCGGGAATTTCAATTTCAGAATCCAAACAGAAATCGGATTGGTGCAGAATTCCCCTTCAATCTTGACACCATTTATACCACTATGCACTTGTTTGGGAAGTTGGATTGAGGTGGGATGGGTTAGGGTTAAAATATTTATAAAAAATGAAATAAAATTTTTTAATTTTAGATTAAAAAATGTCACATTTAAATTATAATTATTTTATATTTTTTTTAACAAAGTCAAAAAAATAAAAAAAACTTATTCTAAATGAGATTTTTTAGTCTTAAGCTAAAATAATTAAAAATTTAAAAAATTAAAAAGTAACCTATATCCCAAACGAAACATATATATATATATATATCTTATGTTGGTGTATGTACAGATATCTATTATCTATTATCTATAATAAAGGGTTGTTTGAAAAGTGTTGGATTAGTATATTTTTTTTTATTTTTTACAAAAAAATATAAAATGTGAGTTCGGGTTGACGTAATGTGATAAGGAAGCGGTATGACCTAAAATGACCAAAATAAAATAATGTGTTAAAATAACATATACTATTTTATTACATGACAAACGGGCAAAAATATTAATTTTATCTTTTTAACCTCTAACGTTTCTATGCTAATGTGATTCAATTGGAGACGGTTATTCAAATCAATAACTGTTAAAGCCTAATTTGATAATCAAAAAAGTCATTTCAAAATTTAAACAACTTAAACTATTCTCTCTCTCTCTCTAACCGAGAGCTTCTCTCTCTACTCTTTCTTTTAGCTTTTCTCAGTGCTGTCCTACTTGGTTAGGGGGAGGGAGCTTCGGCCTTTGGCCACTTCTCTCCTCTCCCTCTCTCCCCCTTTTCCTTCCCATTTTTCCACTCTTCATAATTGCTTTCCCCATTATTCTCTCTCAAGGTTGATAATAGAGAAAGGAAATTAGTTCTTTCCCAAGAGTTAAATCTCAAAAATTCATCCATTGTAAAGCTATGGATGGGTGCTATTTATAGGCACCTCATGATGTAGGATGGAGCCCATGTGCAAGGCACATGGGGAATATTCTCTCTAACCACCTTGTCCGAGGAGGTGACCTCTCCGAGGATGAGGAAAACCCTTGAAGAGGAGATCAACCTCTTGGCGAACCCTTCTTCTTAGCCACACCTAACCAATGATCCCCAATCATCCCAAAGGGTCAAGGGTAGTCCCAGAGGACGCCCTACAGCAGAAGGGTCAGGGGTAGTTCAAGAGAACGCCCTGCCGCAAATATTGCCGAGTCTTAGGGACCCGCTAGATCGTGCCACCTCAACCCGGGTATAGGCTAGTTTAACTGAAGAGTGAATTTATCTCCACTCACCGTCCTTGGGATTGGGTCCTTTGTTTGGACTCCAACACGCCTATGGTTCTGGTGCGTAGATCCCGGAAAGCTCTGAGCCCACAAGTGTTCTGGGACTCATAACGGAGCAACTTCTAGATTTCATTAGAATCCATTCGAAGCCAAGCTCTTCGAATCTCAAGGTTTCGTGGATCCGAACCCTTTTGAGTTTGAGCTCAAATAGGTCTCTAGGTTCGTGATTCCGAACCCTTTTAAGACTAAGCCAATACCTCAAAGAATGGATCTCCTCCGAGGGTTTCATCTCTTCTGAAAGTAACGTTTAACCTTCTGGAATGCCCGTATGATCTGGGCCTCCTCGGATCGGCTTGTTGGACTCCCTTTAGAGATATTTACTTGATGAGTCTTTCTCGGCCCAATTTGTTGGCTTTCTCGTAGGCCCGTTCAATGGATTTCACTTGGGCCTATTTGGCAATAATTTCTACAGACCCACTAATTTTGGGCTTTTCGATTGGGCTCCTATTGGGCCCAATTAATTAGTGGGCTTAAGTTAACTCTTTTTACAGTTTTTGTCATGACCCGAACCCGCCCCTATGGGTTAAGGACATAACCGGCCAGTAATCCTGAGAGTACCTACGGCCTCAGACCAAAACAGACGAAACTCGTCAGAGTAAAGGGGCCAAACGGAAGCAATAATTAAAACTTTGTCCATAGAGCCGTGCTTATATGCACATCAAACAAACCATACTCGGATACGTTAATAACCCACATCGAAAGTACAGTTTCACAAAATTCATTACAGACAGGATCATCCAAAACGAGTCAACCTATATCAGACTATGTACAGACATACACTAGGCCCTTGCCAACATAACAAAACATAAGTACATACTAAAAGGGCAAGGATGGCCTCATGTGTGAGGCACAAGGCTGACTCTCCCAAAACTCGTGTTGTTCCTAGCAGGCTTCACTGGGGCTGGGTTTGTGCTTCTCTTGGCTCACCTACAAACACATGAATGAGCGTGAGCGATAGCCCAGTGAATAATATCAAACATGACAGTTTCATGACAATATGTAGAACAACATGCTCCAAACAGCCTTGGGCCCAATTCATACTTCTATTTAACACAGATATATATATACTTATACAAAATTTAGTTCAAGTGACTGTAGTTCCAACATACTGGCCTTTGGCCCATTCAGGTTTCCATTCTTGTCGAAACGGCCTCCGGCCCATTCATTTATGTCAAAACGGCTTTTAGCCCATTCATTTACATCAAAACGGCTTTTAGCCCACTCATTCATGACAGAACGACCTTCGGTCCATTCATATTCATCTAAACGACCTTTGGTCCATTCATATACATCAGAACGACCTTCGGTCCATTCATATACATCAAAACGACCTTCAGTCCATTCATATACATCAGAACGACCTTCGGTCCATTCATTCTTATCAAAACGACCTTTGGTCCATTCCTATACATCAGAACGACCTTCGGTCCATTCATATTCATCTAAACGACCTTTGGTCCATTCATATACATCAGAACGACCTTCGGTCCATTCATATACATTAGAACGACCTTCGGTCCATTCATTCTTATCAAAACGATCTTTGGTCCATTCCTATACATCAGAACGACCTTCGGTCCATTCATTTATATCTAAACGACCTTTGGTCCATTCATTCACATCAAAACGACCTTCGGTCCATTCATTTATATCAAAACGACCTTTGGTCCATTCATTTACATCAAAACGACCTTTGGTCCATTCATTTACATCAAAACGACCTTTGGTCCATTCATTTACATCAAAACGACCTTTGGTCCATTCATTTACATCAAAACGACCTTTGGTCCATTCATTTACATCAAAACGACCTTTGGTCCATTCATTTACATCAAAACGACCTTTGGTCCATTCATTTACATCAAAACGACCTTTGGTCCATTCATTTACATCAAAACGACCTTTGGTCCATTCATTTACATCAAAACGACCTTTGGTCCATTCATTTACATCAAAACGACCTTTGGTCCATTCATTTACA